TATAGCTATAGTGTATTTAATTTTATACCCGATATTTATTTATCTGAATTCAAAACAATAGCTTATATAACTATTCTATATTGAAGTTATCATCCGTTCCTGGTTTAGCGCGACAGTGTCGCGCAGCTACTTATTTATTTAAACAATTTAAATAACTTTTCATATGTATACAAAACATTCTTACCCCTTCTGCATCACTATTCATATGCATTCAGGCATTAGCATACTATTTTAAACTTGCATCAATTACTGAATTAAGTTATCGAAAAGAAATGTATGCATGTGATATAATTGCCAGATGCATTCTAGCACAAATAGCGCTGGATGTTAATTCTGCTATCAAGCAACTACACAGACTTCTGAGCATCGAATTAACTCCTTTTCCCTTTCTTTTTTAAACATTTACAATTAATCATGTAGTTTTTAGCCATTGGCTGTCATCCAACAGGCCAAAACTTAATTATCCCCAATTATATTACTTATTTAAACAAGAAGTCGTATCACATTGGCTGTCACCCCGACAGGCCAAACTAAACTGTGTGACTGCCGTCTTAACAAGTCACAATTCCAATATTGGGCTAAAGACTTTCACAAAACAAAACAAAAAACTTAACTCATTAGCACAGTAGCCATTACAGCCAACCAGACCCTACAAAACTAACTATCCTTGGTATAGGGTACGTATGTCGACATAACCAGAACGAAAGCCGGGTTCGCAGAAAGGACAAAAGTAATTCCGATCAATATTACTTGCTACAAAACAATTACATTACCTCATACTTACTTAATTACCACACACTTAATAAATTGCTCGTAATAATGATATTAATTACTAAGCTCACACTTATTATTATATCATACTAATCACCCGATTACCTCATAATTACATACGTATGTTCGATCAATTGATCGAACATGTGATCATAATCGGGCTATCACATGTTCAATCAGATAGACAATGATTCGAGGCTCGATACTTACGTATTTAGCAGCTATTTTAAATTGCTTTAACGAGATATATAGTATATATCTGTACAATTGATGTATGATTGAAAGAGATATATAATATATATCAATTCAATTAATTGATATATAGTGTAATTGATGTATAATTAATAGTTATCAGGTGACATTGGATTAAAATAATCGTTAAGATAACATTAAAAAAAAAAGAAAAAGATATATACCCAAAAAAAAAAGAAATATTAAAATTCTGAATAGAATAAAATTGATATACTGTGATATAGTATTAATATGGGTAACATGATCAACAGTAACTACCGGATAATTAGTATAGTAGTTTTCCACTCATGTAGTTAGTTTTGCAATACATAGTTTTAGTCAGTAGTTTTCCTCCTTCATAATACAAGCTGACTATAAATATTAGGACAGTATTTCGCAAAATGGATTCAGGTTCGATCCGAATTCGATCCACAAATCTCTATAATTTGCAGATTCTGCGGATCTGAATCCAAAGAAAGATTCAATCGAATGATATTTGATTCAGATTGATCTTTTTTTTTTTTTTGAGCTAATAGTGCCAGATATCGAACTTCATAAATGTGTAGCATATATTAATAGAATTGTGCGTGGGTTAAGAAGATTCAGGTGTGAATATTGCTTCTTGTGAATATAGCGCCTTTATTTCTTATCATTATGCTTGTTTTCTGAAATAAGGTTATAATTAGTACATGATTAGTCAAGTTCCAAATTAAGTATTTATCAAACATACTTACCACATAAGCGCTAAATAACGCTTATAGGCATCATTTTGAAAATTGGGCACTTCAAAATAACATATGGTATTATGAGCATCCCGAATTACCATGCATCCTAATGTAACACATAATTTATTGTTGTGATGAACATTACAATATATGTACGCTCTTAAGTGCATTTTTCACTATATGATATTGTTGAATAGTGCAAAAAAAAAAGCAATTGATTCAAAAACATTATTATATAATTAAATTTCTATTTATAATCAATTAAATAAGTACATACGTACATACAAAAATTTCTATTATCTGTCATAACTAGTACTGATCTATTTTAGTTAAACTGGTTCAGCCTTGTTCAAAACTCATGCTACAAATGAGAAAAAATGACAATGACTAGTACAAAAATAGATATTGAATATGAAAGATAGAATAAACTTATCTATATAAAGTTTTAAGATATTATTTTGTATACGCATTTAATGCTTATATATATATATACTATCACTATATAATCTTCGTTATGCAAAAAAAAAAAGCATATAAACCAATTAAAGTGATTGGTACATATGAGAGTTTACTAAATCCTAATCTCGTTGTTTAATATTTATAAAGTTAAAAAATAATAAATTTTAATTGCAGTAAGTAGTAAATATAATGAAATATTTGTTGTGTTAAACTATTTAAATAAAGTTATATTACAAAATTAGATCGATAAAACAAGTTGTTATAATAGAAGATGAAAATTCGCAATTCTTGTCCTCATCTCACCATTTAACGAATCATTTGTAAATCTTAAGAATCGAAGTTGGATATGGAAATATTTTAAAGTAGAGAATGTATTTGAAACTTCTCATGTTAACTCTACATATGTAATTTGTAATATAAATAATGAATCGGGTAAAAGATGTAATGCTCGATTTAAAGTTTTAGGTGAATCAATGTCAAACTTAATTTATCATCTTTTGAGAAACCATGGTATCACACAGGATAATTCTGAAGAAGACAATGCGGATAATTTTAATTAAAATATGATATTATTTTATTTTTTATTGCACTTTTCAAATTGGTGTAATTATTAAATAATTACTTATAATAAAAAATCTTCAAAATTAAAATAACAATTCAATTATTTCTAGTTGCATTTGCAATTCTTCAAATAATACATAAGTAAATTATCTTAATAATATTTGTTTATTTTTATTATACTACTACTCTAAAGTATAAACTAGAGTATTACTTTGGAGCATTTCTCTGGAGTATTGCTTTGGTTTATTGCTCTGGAGTATTGTCCTGGAGCATTGCTCTAGAGTATAAACTAGAGTATAAACTGGAGCATAAACTGGAGCATATAACTGAAGTATAAACTGGAGTATAAACTGGAGTATATGCTAGAATAATTAAACTAGTTTGGTTTGGTTTTAGATTTACTTCACTGGTTTATAACCCAAACCAAACCAAACCACTCCATTAACAACTCTATATATTACTAAATTATACACTTGTTTACTTCTAATTTGCAAGCCTGATATCACCCAGCTATCTAAATAGTACCCAAGTGCAACCTGTCGCACTAATTTGAAGATTACTCTAAAAATTAGAAGCTGTGTTAAACTAGCCTAAGTGCTACACCAAAATAGCTTTCCGCCAACTCTAATTCTATTCCACATTGTCTTCTCTACCAAAGCATCTATCCTTCTACTCGCATTTTTTCTCCTTTCTTTGACCTTCTGTACTATGGCTTTTTTAGGGTCAGGTAGTTTTTCACTCTTCCAGTAAGAATTTTTCGGTGCTTCTGTTTTTTCTTTTCTTTTTTTCCGGTTTATCTTCTTTTTATCCTGCACTTTGGTTCTTTTACCTAGTTTTTGCTATTTAGAGATGCTTTTTCTTGTTTCTACTCTATCATCTTTTCGTATCTCCAATGTCATACAATTTCATAGAAGCCATTCCACAAAACATGTATCATTGTGTCTAAGGCCAAATTTGCTTTTTTTTCGTTAAGCCTTGGTTAATGAGCTCTTCTATGACTATACTTTTAAATAAGCCCCGAGTATAGCCTTCTCTTCGCTCTTTTTGCTCTCTATAATTTTTACTGAATAGACATTTCTGGAGTTCACTTGTTCATAATTTTCTTCTTCTTTCAGGTTTGTTTAAAAGGGCTTGTACTGTTTCAATTGCTACTTGTTCGATTTCATGCTAGTGGGTCTGCTGTGCTCTGCAGCATGCAAAATGATCTTGTGTTTTTCTATATTATCTTTACACAGCTTGCAGCTATTCTTCTTATATAAGTCTGGCCTTCTTTTGATAAGGTTACTTCGAACTGGAGCTGATTATGTAAGCACTTGATCAGGAATTGAGCTTTTTTTCCTTTTGTATTGATGTACAGTGCACCCCACTTTGGGATTTGATTCTTCTCCATAGGCTTTTTCAATTCCACTTCTGCGTATTGTCTCTTGGCTTGAGAAGGCTTACAGTACTTAGCATTCTTCATTCTGCTGCAATTTTTGTATCTTCAAGTTCTTTGATAAACTTTCTTGTTGAGATCTCAATAAGGCTGTTCTGCCAATAAATATTGCATCCAAGCCTTGAGCTCGATACTACTTTATGTATTTGTAGATTTGGTACTAGCAACCCTTACTTTACTAAATAATCTGACTCATCATTCCATTTGTTTTTACTATGACCCTTAACTTTAATTAATTCTAGCTTTAATTCTTTTGTGTTTTTGGTATCTATGATTTTGTACAGCAAGAAATAGTTTTTTAGTTTTAGCCATTCTCTATTTGTTCTCAGACTTTTGCCTTTTTTGATTGTATCTATTGCAGCTGCACTATCTGTATATATTTTGATTTTGGTTCTCATCAGGGCTATGAGTAAAATTACCCATATTGCTGCTAATTCTGCTCTTGTCGATGATAGCCAATGTTCTATGCTAAAGCATCCCTCCTGTAACATGTTTTCTTTATTTTTGTCAATTTACAGCCAGCCTAAACCCTGTCTATATACTGCTTTTTCATTTCTTATTTCCTTGAATAATGAGCCATCTGTATAGAAAGTTAATGCTTTTTTGGTCTGCTTCTATATTTCTATCTAGTTGATCTAATAATAACTCTTCACAATATTCACTGAACCCTTGTTTTCTAATATAGTCTCTCTCTAATCTATCTATATAAACTATATCTGCCAGGCTTGCATATTCTAAACTATATGAGTCTCTACTTATTTCCCTCCTACTAATCATCCTTGTATTACTATCTTTTTTTCTAATTCTTCAAGTGAGCTTCGTGTTATATCAAGAACCCATCTACTATTTTACTTTTTAAGCCCTTGCAATACTGTGATTACTTTTTTCTTATTGATTTACTCTGTTTATTAGGTGTTGCTTAATGTAATCACTTCTTTATCTATTTTGATTTTACTTTTTTCTTCTTTACTAACTAATCACTTCTCTGTGCGGAATCCTTCTTTGCTCTTGTTAACTACTCTTCGAATGTCTATCTCGTTTTCTTTGCTATTGACTAGTATCCAATCTAGTTTATGTTTGTCTTCTGAAATCTTCACTCTTTGGGATATTAATGCTAATTTGTTTGTGCTACCTGTTTGCAAATCTTGCTTTATCTCTCTTGTGTCAAAGTTAATGATCATCACGATTGACATAAACCAGATTGGGACTTTTCCTTTGCAAGTTCTTTCTTTAACTCGTTTAAGATAATGCCACGTGATTATTTGCTTCTCCTGCATATCTAAGAGCTGTTTGATAAATATTAGATCTAAGGATTTTAGCATTTTTGCACACTGCATGAAGGCTTTTCCTCCTATCATACTGTCATGGTGATAACCAACACCCTTGTGTTGATAGTGCTAGAGTTAGATATGATTACAGATTACCTGATTAGAACTGGATAACGTCAATGGCATGATTATTAATACATGAATTTAATTTATAGTCTATTTGTAAGTGTTGCATAATGTATATAACTGGGTAATCAAGTACTTGAATTGATAATCTAATAAAAAGAGTATCAATTCTCTTTGGATTCAATAAGATTAGTTTGCTTATAAACCAAGCTTAGTAAATACACATCTTAGTATAAATAGTAGTATAGATGGTAGTGCCTAGTATGATACACTAGTGCACAAAACAAGTACTCTGACTAAGTGAATTGAGCCTGAAACCCCTATAAGTGCAAACATATATGACAAGAAAGGACCTGGATAGATCAAGGTTCTACTTGCTTTCTTCATAGATAAAGTTGTTTTTAAAGAAACTTGGCAAGTGATGTATAGCTAACGTGATCAAGTGCAGTGTGAAGTAAATATATTTTAACAAAAAGAAAAAAAAAAAAAAAACATTGTCAGTAAAGGCTTGTCAATCAAGCAAAGATAGTGAAAAGGACATTACATATCTAAGTGGTAAATGAAAGAAATAGAAGGTGAAGATTTTCTCTTGTGTTAGTTAAAAAAGTAATAGAAATTGGTATGAAAGAGGTTTTTAATAACCTAAACGTTACATGGATAAAACAATGACAAAGAAGGCCTCGACTATGCTACGTATGTTGACTCCAAGAACATTTAACACATTCTTACCTGGAGCAATCGAAATGCGAATATCAGGAACATAATATGGATGTACGATTTAAGAAAAGTGGTGATAAAGGAAGAAGTAAACAAATAAGAAAGGGTAAAAGAAAAAGGACTGTTGTGGTACAATAAAAAATGAAATCTTATTTGTGAAGGCTATTGAAAATATAGATAGATTAAATGAACTGAAAGACATTGGCATTAAAGTTAAAAGGATAAACATAAAATGTTCATTGATTGTCAAAAATCTGCTGATAAAAGTGGTGCTATTGAAACGATCAAAGTTGAATATCATTATCAAGATGAACTGATAATGGTGATGGAGGCTCCATTGGATGAAGTCATGAAAATAAATATTATGATGAAAAACTTACTAGAATCGTTAATGTCTAATGATAAAAATGAATCGAAAGATGATCTTGAAATGAAAATGGGAATTGATAATGATAACGATAATAATGATATGAATAATGATATGAAAACTGATGTTAATGTTGAAGCAACACTACAAAATATAATGATACCTATGGCCATGAACAACAGAATAACTATAGGAAAAGGAATAGTTTATGCAAAGTTGATTGGATATAGAAATCGACAAAAGTGCAAAAATCTTGTGATAATTGGAATTCAGAATGAATATTGAATGTATTGGATCAAGTTAGAAAAAGAGGATTTTATGATCATATATACTTGAATCATACAATCGGCTATGATGGTTTAGAGTATGCAATATTTGAAAATCGAATTGATATATATTTGGGTTTGAAACATTAGTAAAAAAAAAAACTTTATTATTAGTGTTTGTGTTTTCTTTTAATATATAGGGGTAAGTCAATAGAAAAGTGACAAATTTTTTCTAAGTAAAAGTTTTCTTGACTTTAAGCTTATTAAATATCTTAACATTTATTTTATCAAATTTAATAAAATTTTTTTATTTTAATTCTATATAACTTCAAGATTAAAATAAAAAATTTTTTAACAAATTTGATTAAATAGTTGTTGAGATATTTTAATTTAAAAATTAAAAAATTTCACTAAAAATGATTTGTCCCTTTTCTATTGACTCCCCCCATATGTGATAATTTGTTTAATATACTTCTGCATTTGTGTTTGGATATGTATAGCATAGGATTTTGCAAAGGTAAACTTCGAGACGAAGTTCATTGGGATCTAGCTCCTGTTATGGTGATGACCAACACCCCTTGTGTTGATAGTGCTAGGGTTAAGTATGATTATGGGTTACCCGATCAGGACTGGGTAACGTCAATGGTATGATCATTGATGCATGAATTTAATTTATAGTCTATTTGTTAGTGTTGCATAATGTGTGTAACTAGGTAATCAAGTACCCGGATTAATAATCTAATAAAAAAAGTATCGATTTCTTTGGAATCGATAAGGTTAGTCTGCTTATAAACCAAGCTTAGTGAATACACATCTTAGTATAAATGGTAGTATAGGTAGTAGTATCTGGTATGATACACCAGTGCACAAAGCGAGTGCTCTGACTAAGTGAATCGAGCACAAAACTTCTATAAGTGCAAATGTATACGATGCATACTGCGTATTGTTCTGTCTATTTCTCTGGGTCTCTAACTATCTTGTGCTGGTTTAATTACTAATTGTTTTTTTGCTCCCTTTACTAAGGTTAGCATTGCTTAATTGTATTTCTAGAGTTTTTTGAGCATTATATATTCTTCTCAGCCATCAAAGTTCTCTGTTAAACTAGCTATTTGGTGCCCTTGCCAAATTCTAGCTCAGTAATTTTGTTAATTACCACTTCATCATTTAATTTATTATGTAGACTTGTTATCTATCTATTTAATAGCTCTGTGCTTAACACTCTGAAGTTTCCTATATTCTTGTATGCAGTTACGTAGTTTGATATTGTAATCTGAAGATCAAGTTTGGTTTTTGCAAGCCTAATCATTGGTTGATGAATTTTGTCTATTAAGTCTCTGGATACTCTTAATAATTATAGTAAATAGAGACAATGAAGTTAGAATAGAAATAGATAGAGATAATGAAGGTGGTATAGAAATAGATAAAGATAATGAAGATAGAATAGAAAATATACTTGTGATGAACAAGAAGACTATCTTGAAGATCAATCAGAAAGTGAGATGGAAAAAATAAGCAATCAAGTCATGGTAAATAATAATTAAATAATAATTAAATAATAAGACAATAAATATTTAAGGTATGCGAAGTTACATGAACAATAGAAA